ATTTCTTGTATAATATACACCAATGTATAATATAATTTCTAGTATAATACACGCCAATGTATAGTATAATTTCTTGTATAATATACACCAATGTATAATATAATTTCTAGTATAATACACACCAATCTATAGTATAATTTCTAGTATAATATACACCAATGTATAGTATAATTTCTAGTATAATATACACCAATGTATAGTATAATTTCTAGTATAATACACCAATGTATAGTATAATTTCTAGTATAATATACACCAATGTATAGTATAATTTCTAGTATAATACACACCAATGTATAGTATAATTTCTAGTATAATACACACCAATGTATAGAATAATTTCTAGTATAATACACACCAATGTATAATATAATTTCTAGTATAATACACCAATGTATAGTATAATTTCTAGTATAATACACCAATGTATAGTATAATTTCTAGTATAATATACACCAATGTATAGTATAATGTCTAGTATAATATACACCAATGTATAGTATAATTTCTAGTATAATATACACCAATGTATAGTATAATTTCTAGTATAATACACACCAATGTATAGTATAATTTCTAGTATAATATATACCAATGTATAGTATAATTTCTAGTATAATATATACCAATGTATAGTATAATTTCTAGTATAATACACACCAATCTATAGTATAATTTCTAGTATAATATATACCAATGTATAGTATCATTTCTAGTATAATATACACCAATGTATAGAATCATTTCTAGTATAATATACACCAATGTATAGTATAATTTCTAGTATAATATATACCAATGTATAGTATAATTTCTAGTATAATACACACCAATGTATAGTATAATTTCTAGTATAATACACACCAATGTATAGTATAATTTCTAGTATAATACACACCAATCTATAGTATAATTTCTAGTATAATACACACCAATGTATAATATAATTTCTAGTATAATATATACCAATGTATAGTATCATTTCTAATATAATACACACCAATGTATAGTATAATTTCTAATATAATACACACCAATGTATAGTATAATTTCTAGTATAATATACACCAATGTATAGTATAATTTCTAGTATAATACACACCAATGTATAGTATAATTTCTAGTATAATATATACCAATGTATAGCATAATTTCTAGTATAATATATACCAATGTATAGTATAATTTCTAATATAATATACACCAATGTATAGTATAATTTCTAGTATAATACACACCAATGTATAGTATAATTTCTAGTATAATATACACCAATGTATAGAATCATTTCTAGTATAATATACACCAATGTATAGTATAATTTCTAGTATAATACACACCAATGTATAGTATCATTTCTAGTATAATACACACCAATGTATAGTATAATTTCTAGTATAATATATACCAATGTATAGCATAATTTCTAGTATAATATATACCAATGTATAGTATAATTTCTAGTATAGTACACACCAATCTATAGTATAATTTCTAGTATAATACATACCAATGTATAGTATAATTTCTGGTATAATATACAACAATGTATAGTATAATTTCTAGTATAATACACACCAATGTATAGTATAATTTCTAGTATAATACACACCAATGTATAGTATAATTTCTAGTATAATACACACCAATGTATAGTATAATTTCTAGTATAATACACACCAATGTATAGTATAATTTCTAGTATAATATACACCAATGTATAGTATAATTTCTAGTATAATACATACCAATGTATAGTATAATTTCTAGTATAATATACACCAATGTATAGTATAATTTTAGTATAATAGACACCAATGTGTTGTATAATTTCTAGTATAATATACACCAATGTATAGTATAATTTCTAGTATAATACACACCAATGTATAGTATAATTTCTAGTATAATATACACCAATGTATAGTATAATTTCTACTATAATACACACCAATGTATAGTATAATTTCTACTATAATACACACCAATGTATAGTATAATTTCTACTATAATACACACCAATGTATAGAGTTGATAGTTACAATCGATATTTTATTAACTATATCCAAAACTGATTTGTTCAGTTTGCACACTTTCATTAAAGGGATTGTAAATAGGTTTTTTTTTAAAAACTGTATTTGTGTCGGAACACTGATATCATCAATTTGCACCATTCCAAATCGTATATCTGTGTTTCCTGAAAACCCACTCACACTAAGTGCTTGATGACGTCACTAATCACAAAATGTTGTTAATGACATAAGGCTAAAGAACCCTTGATTGAAAATTAGAATGATTATATCAGTGACCCCGATATACATAAAAATTTTAGAAAACTTCTTTACAATCTCTTTAACAAGAATCACAGACGTCTGATTGAAAATTAGAATGATGTAAATTGATGATATCAGTGTCCCCGATATACATTAAAATTTTAGAAAACTTCTTTACAATCTCTTTCAGTCCCTTAATGCTCTCGAAGATATTTTGGGGCCTTTATCCTTGTCAATAAAATTATTTTAATCCCAAACGACTAGACATATTGTTCATGTCAGCTCCTCTTACCCCAGACAACTTAAACATGCCCCGCCTGTAGCTCACGAACCTTGAGTTTATTGTCCAATTCCAAACATCTAAACCCATGTCAGCCACGTAGAGAGAAAATGAACTCAGTTGATGATAATTTTTCAGAATACAAAACAAACCAATTAATGTTAAGTATCTTTATTTAAATTGAACAAAAGATTAATCGTAGTTAGTTTAAACGTAAATATTAGAATAAGTTTTATGAAAGAATTTAGTGTTTGAAATTTGCTGCAGATCGTTGCAGTCTAACGGTTGCATCCGGGAATATTCCTCAAGAAATCACAAACTAACGTTTTGGGATTGAATCCTGTACCGGCCGGGCAGGGCATGGATATGTATCGACCATTAATGCACATTTTATAACGAAGGCAATTATCAGAGTCAGGTATACTACCGGCGGTACAGGTTGCAATCACTTCGTCATTGTGAACGCAGGTCAGTACCTCTTGACTCCAATGTGTGCCAGGTCTACACTGTCTCAGTCTGGCGATACGGTGTGCGCAATGGTAATATCGTTTCACGTTGTATTGGTGACTGAAGAATATCAGTTTACCATCTGGACATTTATCTGAAATATAAACAGAAGATAAGTAAACAGAACATTACGTAGACAGAACAATACGTTAGAATGACGTCATTTGCTAAAAGAAACATGTTTGCTTCTAAGAACAATCTGTCCAGTCCTAAATCATGAATACCAAAATTGTCGCACACACCATAAAGAGTGTCCCCCCAAAAGGGGCTACTTACCCCCACAAGCACCTGTGTTACACTGAATAATTCGATGTTCAGCAGAATCCCCTTCACAATCAGATCCACCGTTCGCTGGGGCAGGGTTAGTACAGGTCCTACGTCGGGTCTGCTCCTTCGTACCCCCACCACAAAAGACATTACATTCATCATCATCATTCCAAATCGTGAACTCATGCCATCCTCCGTTAACTATGAAAGAAATGAAAGAAACAGTTCTATTTTACAAGCCTGACAAGTAATGAGCAGCTGGGTCGACTTGAAATATGAGTTTAGTTCTTAGAACTTTCACAAGACAACCGAGACACAATGACAGAAGCAAGTTAAAACTTAATACAAAGTCTAATAAACTCTTGCTAACCGACATCTGTCAATATGATGTTGGTGATAAAAATGGCTACGTTACAGGAGTAAAGATCAACAATGGCTCATGTTTGAAGTGCTGAACTTTAGACGTTCTCGTATCTTTGGGATTAAAGAAAAAAATCTCCTGAACCGACCTGGACAAGAATTTTCATTACAAGCAACTAGCTCACTCTTCGTGCTATCACCTTCACAATTTGTTCCATAGCCCTGGGGTGAGGGATTGTTACACTCTCTAGCGTAGGACACGAGCTTCGTCCCTCTCCCACAGGTCACGCTACATTCTTCAGATTGAGTGTGGCGGTAATCCGACCATCCACCATTAACTAAAAATAGATTTTTTTTAATGAAAGAAAATCACAGTGAAATATCTTTCAAAAATTATTGATTCCTTAAAGGGACAGATGCGCCATTTCTCGGGTTGATTTGAGTCTAGAATATATGTAAATAGTCTTCAAAATGTTAGAAATGTACCAAAATAGCATAATTCCTATAAAAAAAATGTCAAGGTCATCCGTAAATTGTAAAACCCAGACAAACGAACCTATTCTACAAACTGGCCAATGTAGTATCTGTTTTTGAAGCGAAGTTTAAAGATTAACAGACTTTGCAAGTTAAGAAAGATTTTAATTACGGAGGTAAATGTGAATGTAACCCGGATGTGAAATTAGTTAAAGCTGTAAATATACTCAACAAAAGACTCGAATCCTTGTGTAATTTATGTATCATATATTTTAATCTTTGGTCAAAGACAGAACTATAAACTTATTATAATTACCAGTTTGTATTTGTCTTCTCACACGTTTTTGACCAGTGAGATCACTACCTGGATAAAAAATAAATAAATCAATAAATAATTAAAAATACACACAAAAATTTTGTGGAAAAAAATTATACGTTTTCTGGCTGATTTCGAAATTTAAGAGTTTTCCGCTACACCACTTCCGGTTGTAATTTGGTGTCTGGAAATATATTTCGGTTCAAGAATTACAAGCTTCTACAAACTGTACTGTTCCCTTAAAGATGAGTTCCCTTAATTTTATTCATAAAAATAAAAATGCTAATACTTATATGAATAGAAATTATGAGTTTTCTAATGACTTGGAAAAATACAAGTATGTCTCACATGTCCATAATTAATTCATAATTAGCTAAATTAGAAGAGAATTACTAGCAGAATTCCAATGAATGACCGATCAAGAAAGGTCATAAGGTCTTTTTGTTTTTGTTTATCCAGACTATACATACATGGACATTAATGAGTGGTTAAAACTTTTAATTATATGCAATATGCAACAAAATGATATGATTAAGAATACATGATAATTCATTAAAAACACCAATTGATAAAATAATTTGCTTAATTTGACACTAAAATATAAGGAAACTCATCTTTAACAGTACTGATGCAGGGTTCAACAAATCTTGCGAGGCATTTCTCCTACATTTCCATATTTCCACAAAAAATTGTATTATTTATTATCTAGTAAATCAAAATGCTGACGACTGTAGCCCGATGTCTTTCATTTCTATGCTCACGTGACTGAAAGGACTGAAGAGACTGTCTGGATAGTACCTGGATTTTCAACTCTGTCATCTGCCTTATAGGTTAAAGGCATATAAAGGGCTTCTAGTCGTACATATATAGAAAATATACCCGAGAATTCGTGTGCCATTAGATTGTAACAAGTTAAAACTACCTAAACTGTTAGAAATAAAAACGAGTAGGTTATCGCCGATGGTTGAGCAAAATTTCCTTCATCTCGTTCATAGTATTGTAAAATTAAGAGTAAAAGTAATATAGTAGTGGACTCCTCCAAGGAGAAGTTACCATCAGGTGTTAAGAAAAGAGTAAGCATGATCTGTTTTCACGAGCGACACTCGCCACTACTATATAGGTCAATATCATGAGATTTATGCCTGACCAAACAAATCATCCAAGATACAAGAAACAGAATGTGTAATATTTATATATTATAGAAGTATAATTCCAACTT